TCTGACCATGCCTTCCATGATTGTCAGTGGGTCCCTCTCTTCCACTCTTGGGGTCCCACAGAATCCAGTTCTTAGCCCTTTTTTCCTTTACTCTCTGATATCTTTGGTAGCTCTTAATTGCTATTAAGGTTTCAACTACCAATCCAATTCCACAATCAGCCTATGTTTGTACGGAGACAGTGCATATATATCCAAATCAGGAATAGGAGCCCACTGTACTAGGCACTGTCCATACACAAGAAAGAAGACCCCCCGTCCCCAAGTACTTTACAATGCTCATATGAGGCAGTAGGGGGAAACACAAGGTAACAAGGAGAGAATTATGGTAAGTGTAATAATTAACAGTCAAAACACACCAAGTGTCTAGTCACTGAAAAATGTTTTGTAGGCATCATGGGAGAAGTGAGTTTCAAGGAGAGATCTGAAAGACGATATCATTAGAGCGCTGTGTGTCTACAAATGTGTATCTGCATCATCCATATCCACAAAAACAAGCCGTGGATATAAAGTCACAAATTTGCATGGTTCTAGACGCAGATGTGGATGCAGAGCAGATATCCATGGATTTGCATGGCTCTAGACATAATGGCAGCTTTGTGGAAATGTATGGGGAGCAATTGCCATGCATAAGAGACAGCAACGGGAAGAAATTCAAAGGTGTTTAGACATCTGAATGTGCTACCGAAACACCATGGGGACAGAAATCTTATAACAAATAGTGGACTGACAGAGACACACACTGACCTGTCCATGTTAATGTTGGACTTGAAGTGCAAAGACACATCCTGTTCACTCACACTGTCCTCTGACTGACAGTTGGAAAAACCATCCCCTTCTACTTCATTGAGAGCCTGTTTCAGAAAAAACACAAGACGTCTCAAATGTTACATGACAGCAATTTAAACCTGCCCTTCAAAAAGGAAACAAGAGTAATTTAATAGAAAGTGTTCCCAGTGAACAAGTCCCTTTATTTTAGTTCCCCCACCTCTACAAATGGGGATAATAATACACTCATCTTACAGCGAAGACAAGAAACATATACAATACATTAATAACGTATATTAGAATGGGTCTATCTGCAAGCCCAGTTTGTTCAAGAACCCCTCCTAAATGGCCACCAAATTTGGGATGCAGCTTTCTCTTATCATAACTTAAAGCAAAGGTAGGGTTTGGCTGTGCCAGGAAAAATGGAAGCCCTTGGAAAAGGACAGTTTTCCATAACATGCAAAAGTGAGAGGCTGCTGTTTAGAGGGATGCGATATGAGAGTGGTACCGATATGTGAGTGGGGTAGCGAGCTACAAGGGAGAGCTATCCTGCAGACTGTCCACTGGGAAGCAGCCATACCACCAATGGAGTGGCCAGCAGCGCTGGGGCTCCACCATCTTGCCTGCCAGGACACCAAGTAAGTAGCCCTCCTACCCCAAACCCTTTCCCTCCTCCCAGTCCTTGGCCGCAGCATCAGTGAGAGAGGAGTGGAAAGAAAAGGGCCCTTGGTGGTCAGGGAAGAGAAGAGGCCTATGCTGGATGGGACCTCCCGCCCTGAATCCCCTCCTCACTCTCCAACCCTTACTCTTGCACTCCCCCAGCCTCCTGCACTCCCTCCCATCCACAATGCTCTGCCCCGATTCCTCCCACACACACCCAGCCAGCCCCCTGCCCTGAAAGACCTTGGCAATGACAGGTAAGTCTATTAGTTCATTAATATTTGTGAAGCACTGGGTTACTACATTGCTTTCCTTGGATGGTGTGGAGTAAGGAAAGGCCTACACAATTACGAAAGATAAAAAATATTGAACATTTCTTCAGTAGTGGCCTTTCTAAGCATCACATAAGATAGGGTACTGTGAAAAAATTTAACATCTGATCATATAATTAAGTAGCAGAATTAATACTGGAAGGACAACTAAATTCTAGCAGAACCCAGTCTGACTGGCAGAGCAGCCTGGAATTCAATTTAAAACATTATATATTTGCACAAGGTGTTGTGGGGTAAATATCAGAATCATAACAGGAAAACTGCAGTTATGCTAGAGATGACATTTTCATGCCAAGACCCTATTTTCTGCCATTGGTAACTTTTCTGAAAAGTAGCCCTTTAGAACGAAGTCTCTTATCTGCACTCAATGCCAAGTGAGTTTCTGATATGATTTATCTGAGGGGGAAAAAGCGCATTAGACAAATAAAGTCTGAATAAGATTAAGCAAAAATGATTTTGTTTTGAAAGATCAAATTCATAATTTATGCAGGTTCTGCTAAGGTTTAAAAAAAAAAATCTAGTTAAGAAACAGTTTCAGACTTAAGTGAACATCAAGAGTATACCCTACATGTAGTCAACCAAACAGCGATCATTGCAATAAAACTGAGTATATTTCCACGAGTGTACATTTAGATTAATGTCAAGGAGGTTAATAAAATCTGGAACCAATCACTTCTACTTTTATTTTTATTTTAAATTTAAACAAATGAAATCATGTTAATGCAACATCGAAGTTGATGGTTTTTGTACAAAAAAAGCCAATTAGGAAATCCAAAGCAACCCCAAATAAATGTTTTGCATTTTATATGTAGTTATATCTCTGTATGTAGTGTTAAACATAAGTTAGTTAATTTTACTGTACATTTTAGAAATGAGCCTGTCTGTCCATCCATCCATGACTCAATTTGTTTAAGAACAACTCCTAAACGGTAAGAGCTAGGACCACCAAATTTGGTATGCAGCTTTCTCTTATTGTAACTTAAAGCAAAATAAGGTTTGGTTGTGCCAGGACAATGGGATATGCCTGGAATGAGATTGTAATCTCATTAAGCAGCAAGGGAGGGGCCTGCTAGCAGACATAGTTATACTGTATAATGACCACAGGAGGCAGCAAGGGACCAGAGACAGAGACCAAGACAGCTATAACCCCATTGGGGCAGCACAGGGGTGGAGAAAGGGACAGCTATCAACTATATATTTGAGACTGTGTGTCTGTCTGTCACCCTACTGGGGGACATGCACCCCACCCCTGGCTTTGCCTACTGTAGCAACCATGGACAAGTGCTTCTCACCTGGCCCCAAGCTGCTGCAGTGAGAAAAGGCTGGGGAAGACCTCTCTCCCCAGGGCAGCCTGCACACTGAAACGCTCATCTACAGTCCTACCCCAGAATAATAATTTAAATGAAGAAATACAAAAATCTTTCAGTTAAGGACCTGAGCTACATCAGGTAAATCCTCTAGTAATACATATAGTTGACTTAGGGAACTTAATTTTGGATTTCCTGACTTGCGTGCAAGTGAAGACATAGCCACAGAACTCTGCAGTATATTTAGTTTATTTTAATTTAATATGCTAATATACAATTTATATGCAGAGTTAATTACCTGGGGATCCATGACAGACTCACTAAGGATGGAGAGCTGTGTGGGAGGATCACTTTTGTGTACAATGGGACCTTGAGAGGATTCCAGGTCACAATGAGGAGCCATTGTTACATTAGGGAAACCTAGAGTAGACAGAAGAAGTCAGAGAACAGAAAAGGCTACTTAGTGGAGAACCCATTATCTCAGGAGAAACCAGGTCCAAATCCTACCAGTATCTCAGGACTTCTGTACCATAATTTAAGCCCCTTTTGTCTCCACAGTCTCTCACAAAACAAGGGGAGACAAATGTCACTGAGTTATGCTAGTGGCCAGCCACAAAGTCATATTTCATACTAAGTGGAGGGCTAGGGTTGTCAATCTGTAGATACTGATGTTGCCAAAGAAACATGCACATTCACAGTCATTACAAGTGAAAAAGAAATGGTATTCCACAGAGATTAGTGATACTCTGAGCCCACCATTCTCTCTGGTGAGAAGGACTAATAGAGTTTGTATTCTCAATCAAGAGAGACCCTTGTTCATACATTGACAAAGCTCCAAGACTATACATTGAAGCCATACAGGAGACCACATGCACTGCCACAATGCCCTAAGGTTCATCTAATCCAGTACCAGATGCTTCAGAGGAAGCTATAAGAAACCTGCAGTAGCAAGATGTGGAGTAACTTGCTCCTCATATTAGGCGTCATCCTGATTTGTAATAGTTAAGCAGAGTTTATACTATATTAAAGGAAAATCTGTGCTATGATAACTAGCCAGATCAACCAAAACAAGGTAAGACAATCCAAAAGACTCTCCATCTACAATTTTGTGAAATTAGACACGTTTTATAAAAGAAGCGTGGCAGCCTTTATGAACTGCCTTACACAAATTAGACAGTTTACCTGCATGCCTACGAGGAGCATCACCAAAAAGGTCTTTCACTATGGCCATGGCTTGATCAGATCTCTCCAACACATCTTGCAGCTGATACTGATCAGAGAGAATCTGAAGGCACAGCACAGGAGATACTTCATATTATCAGAAACAAACTGATTTCCCAAAAAACAAGGATAAATACATGGATTATGGAGAGGGATTTGGTATCATTATCCTTACTAGTTAATAACACACTAAATAATCCCAGAACTGTGAAAGTTAGTGAACTGCACCTTTGCTCCCTTGATGTTCCACACACAAGTGCATCAGGTCTCCAGTTGTCACCCCTATATGGGCTGGGATCCATGTCCCCCTCTCTTCAGACTGTGAGCTTAAGCCTTTAGTCATCATATACTTCACAGTGATTATCCCAGCAGGTCTGACCTTAGCCCAGCATCTAAGATTCACTTTCTCTCAAAGGATAAAGTCAGGGCCAGGAGCAGCATAATATATGTATTGTAGAACAAAAGCATTAGAGACACAACATTTAATAAAACACCTACACAAACTAAGCTTACCAAATATTGCCTTATTCCATGTATAGACCCTGATAGGTTCTTTCTAGTCTTTCAAACACTTCCAGCAGGGGTTGCGTTTTTGGTTAGAATCTGATGTCAGTTTTTGGACCAAAGTAAGGGATATGCAGTCAACTTAGGATGACCCTGGACTCTTCCCTTGTCCTCTTAAACCCAGTCTCAGGCTATATAGGCAATTCCCCACAGAAGGCGGTACTTCTCTGGAATGGTTTACCTGTCCTGGCAGCTGTAGTAATTACCCTCCACTGATGTAGTTCTTAGGGGAAGCTTGGTAACCCTGCCTCATGAAGCTAAGATACAATCCCACAAAGTTCACAAGGATACATATAACATTTATTGATACAAGAATGTATGGCTAATTCCATGGCCCACAATATCTTAATAAACCATGTTGCAGGGAATTACTGTCTGCTTGAATCAGACAGAATCATGTAATTCAGTAAGAAACTATTACCTCCTGACTCAAGTCAGAACACAAAAAAAAATCTCTCCTCCTTTCTTCTGGTTAAACACAACCATAGCAGGTACAGAGGTTCCCCAATCTACACTACCTGCGTCTAGACTGCTGACACGTTCTTTCAAAATTGAATCGAAAGAACGCAGAAGTTTTTTTGATCGCAGTAAACCTCGTTTTACGAGGAATAACGCCTTTTTTCAAAAGTGCTCTTTCGAAAAAAGATGCTATGTAATGCAAACTGTGCTTTTTTGAAAGAGAGCATCCAGACTCCCTGGGTGCTCTTTCAAAAAAAGTGGCTCGCTTTTTCGAAAGTACTGGTTGTAGTCTAGATGCTCTTTTTCTAAAGAGGCTTTTTCGAAAGTATCTTTCAAAAAAGCCTCTTTCGAAAGAGGCTTGCAGTCTAGATGTAGCCTGTGTGTTAAGGGGGAAGAGACAAAACACAGGATACATCTTCCTTGCATAGCTTGGAATTTAGAACCTCAAGTATAAGATCTATGTAAATCCTGTCTCCTTGGGTGCCTATTAATCACAGAGCCTACTCTAACCAATAGTCTGCAGTCGTTGAAAGAAATGCTGCCAGGGGTAGAGGATTCTGTACATTAGTTTGATTATTCAGTCAAGCAGTGGATTTCAGCCTATATGCAGGAGCAATTTTCCAGTGTTGTTACAAGCCCACCATAGCAAAGGAGATGAGGCAGATGCAAAGTGCTTGCTTCTCACTCCTGGCAAATTAAAAACATGTTGAAAGTCCAGACCTATATGTTACCTCTCGCATGAGTGCCAGCTTCCTTTTCTCCAGGGAATCAGGAGCCGCCTGCCTCTGCTTCTTCCATTTTCTCTTCAGTGCTCTCTCTTGTAGCTCCATGTGTGCCAATGCCTTGTTCTTTGATTTGTGTATCTCATGGCGCCGCACCTATGCTCACATGTAAGAGAATTTGAATAAAATGTTAGGGACAAGCTAAGGCACTCTTACAAGCAGAGGGAACTGCCAGTGGTCTTTTTTTCTTGGGTTTACCAATTTATGCATTGTGTACAGTGAAGTTAAACCAGTATGTGGGTGAAGTCAGTAAGGTCACCATCTATGAACATCAACTGCAATCACAGAGTTGACCTCACAAAGCACAGGGAAGGGTGGAAACATATGTACTCCCTTTTGCCTGTATTACTGAAATAACAGCAACAGCTGTATCCAATGGTCACAGAAATTTTGTCACCCAGCACACTGAAAACAAAACAAAATACAATGTCTGATTTAGCAGTGGTGTGAAACATCAGCATCTCCACCCTCTGAATGGGATGCCCATATTCAATTCAGATTAGTAGAACAGGCCTCCAGACACCCTGATAAAACAGTAATTAAATTACAGAATTTAGAAAAAGACTTATGTCATCAAGATTATCCTCCTCACCAGAGATATAATCGTAAATGAGCACAAATGTCTTCATTGTACACTCAATATTATAATATAAGCAGTGCTATCATCTGGATGGAATTAAAATCCTACTCTGAAGAATAGGTAGCAGTAATGTGAACCTATTCAACTCTCCCTCCCCCCACCAAAGAATTAAGGCAATTTCAAGACTAAAAAAAACATTGTTCAGCTCTTTTCTTCAGTGAACATGTTGCAGGTTAAATTCATCTACTGGAGGATTTTCTCCCCTCACCATCATCCCATGTTGGAAAACATTCTGAAAGGATCCATTGGAAAATATATCAGACTATTGTTTAAAATAAAATGGCTGAAGGAAACGTTAAGCAGGTTAGCACCACTACAAGAAGGGGCTGCTGTCCATATAGTTATTGGATAAAAAAGTTTTTGGTGGGTAGGATAGGGTGATAAATACTATAAACAAAATACTCCATACAAATAAAATATTTGGCTCAGATTACTAGATTGCCACTGTTCCACAGCAGGACAATGACAGATTTTTTACTTACCACGTCCTCAGGACTTGCCCGATGTACTGTTAAATCATGGACAGTGCTCTGCAAAGAGAGACACAATAAATACAAAAACAGAGGTGGAAACAGGCATTTTACTACCCCATTATTTTGCTCTTACATTATTAAAATAATCAGTCCTCTAAGTTTAGACACAAAAGGGTCTGTCATAGATCCCTTTACAGTTTTACACAGTATTCCATTGAAAAACTATGTTAAAAGAATATTAAGCTTGCATTCAGAAGTCAGGCAATGGTAATGTTAAACCAGTCTAACTCTGCCCCCATGGGTACATATATAATGACAATCTTTAATTACGTAACAATCACATATTATTTCTCAAAAGGAAGAGAGGGAAGATAGACCAGTTTTAGAGCAACAACAAAGGACTTGGGTTCAAGTCCCTGTTCTTTCCGACTTCTTGTGTGACCTCAGGCAAAATATTTATCGACTGTCTCAGTTCTTTATCTGCAAAATGAGAATAATACCTCCAGAGTGTTCCAAGAATAAAAGATGTTCACCACAATGGTGGCCATAGGAATACTTTGGATAGAAATAACACAACGTATGTTTCCTACAAGCTCAAATACATGTATATACCAGAGAGTCACTCTATACAAGATGCATAACGAATGTGTCAAATGCTCTATAGCAGCCGTGGCCAACCCACGGCTCACGAGTCGCTTGCGGCTCTTCCCCCCCGACCCTCCCCCAGGCTCGTAAAGCCACCCCTGCGCCACCAAAAACGGCCCTCTCCTCCTGGCTCCCTGTGCTGACCTGGGCAGGGGAGCCGTCCGGTACAGCCATTGAAGATGGAGAATTAAAGATGGTGATGGTCGGTGGGAGCCTGATGTAGCCAAAAAGCTTCTAAATGTGTTTTCTTAAAGGGGCAGAGCTTTTTTTTTTTGCTCGACCAAATGCGACTGGGGGCTCCTTTTAAAGGGGCAAAAGGGGCAGTCTTTTTTTGGGGAGCTCGACAACTTTGCACCAGCTCTTCGCGCTGGATCCTCTGAAATCTTGGTTCTTTCCCCAGAATAGGTTGGCCACGCCTGCTCTATAGCCTCTTTCTCTCTCTGAGGCTACATCTTCACTGCAAGTTCCGCCAGCAGAAAATATGCTAATGAAGGGCTCATTTGCATGAGTTGCAATCTCATTTGCATATTTTCTGCAGATTCGTTTTTGCGCAAGGGGTTTTTGCACAAAAACGTCCACACTGCTTGCTTTTGCACAAAAACCCCTAGCTTAAAACAGATTGGCAGAAAATATGCAAATGAGATTGCGACTCATGCAAATGAACCCCTCATTAGCATATTTTTTGCAGATAAAATTCATAGTATAGACGTAGCCTGACAGAATACTCTAGAATCATAGAATCATAGAATAATAGGACTGGAAGGGACCTCGAGAGGTCATCGAGTCCAGCCCCCTGCCCTCAAGGCAGGACCAAGCTCCGTCTACACCATCCCTGACAGATGTCTATCTAACCTGTTCTTAAATATCTCCAGAGAGGGAGATTCCACCACCTCCCTTGGCAATTTTTTTCCAATATTTGACCACCCTGACAGTTAGGAATTTTTTCCTAATGTCCAATCTAAACCTCCCCTGCTGCACTTTAAGCCCATTACTCCTTGTCCTGTCCTCAGAAACCAAGAGGAACAAATTTTCTCCTTCCTCCTTGTGACACCCTTTTAGATATTTGAAAACCGCTATCATGTCCCCCCTTAATCTTCTTTTTTCCAAACTAAACAAGCCCAGTTCATGAAGCCTGGCTTCATAGGTCATGTTCTCTAAACCTTTAATCATTCTTGTCGCTCTTCTCTGTACCCTTTCCAATTTCTCCACATCTTTCTTGAAATGTGGCGCCCAGAACTGGACACAGTACTCCAGCTGAGGCCTAACTAGTGCAGAGTAGAGCGGCAGAATGACTTCACGAGTTTTGCTTACAACACACCTGTTGATACAACCTAGAATCATATTATAGCAAGTGATTTCGACTTCAAGGTCCTCAGGTTTTAGTGATGCTTTTGAGCAGCGGGCTGAAAATTCTGTAGCACTTTCAGATAAGATATGTAATTAAATGAAAACTATCAGTATGATAATCTTGCATAATTTAAGTTTCCGAGGGCCAATGCGGGGGTCACAGAGGGACACGGGGCAGCGCGGGCACAGGCTGGCAAGGGAGGCGGGAGCAATGCTCCCGCGCGGAGCGGGGCTCTTCTCTCCGCCTCGCTGGAGC